ACACCCCTTTGCCGTCTTCAAACTGCGGCCATATTGGATTTTTGACCAAAATATTTCGCATCAAAAGTTTAACAAAACGATTTCTCATGCAGAAGGACCTCGATCCCGACCAAAGTTTTCCATCTAAAGAATTTTAACGATTTGAAGTGCAAAAGAGTATATATAAGAGAATGCATGACGTTTATTTTTTTCATCATTCAAGAACCCCATGATATGATAAATAAAATAATGCAACAGGGACCTATATACTAATATAGTATATAGGTCCCTGAATGCAAGTACACATAATTTCCAATAGAGCCTCATGACATACAATAATCATGATAATGATTACTATATATCTAACTCATTTACGTTTTCAGGGAAAATGCACTGGAAAACTTCTTAAAATACTTTTCGATGGTATGTTAAATCTACAAACCTTACATGTGACATGCTTTTTCTTGCAGAATTGTATATATGTAGCTGCAGATCTGTAGAGGAGGGGATCGCAGTTATTGCCAATAAAATATATGTATTTGATTTTGTGTTGTTTGTTTGTTTTGTTTTGTTTTTTGGTATGGGGGTGTTTAAATTTTATGTGTATTGTTTATGTTTCATTAAAAGTTTAGACTTTGTCAAGTATAAACTTATCTATAACAGTCTAGTCCTCTAAACTTTCAATGTAACATTTAAAGTCAGGCGCGTAGCCAGCATGGAAATGAAGTGTACGCAGAAAACGGTCGGGGGTCAGGGCTTCGCCCTGAGGCCCCCAGTGGGTCCAGGGCGAAGCCCTGGTGGGGGCCCAGGGGGCGAAGCCCCCGGAAGCTCCTGGATTTTACGAAATTTGTCAGTCATTTTCCCGTAAAAGAAAACACGATAATATCACTTTTCTCGAGCAAACACTTAGCTAAGTAATAATGCTTCTATGGATACTTCAGGAAGAGAACGATAATTTTATCAAATTAATTTACGGATATATTGGCATTGGAAAAAAAGTTTTCAAATGTAACAAGATAAAACAGAGTAGTAATTTTAATATTGCTATCATTAGAGTTTAAATTATATTTCAAAATATAAACTTGGGCGGGGGTGTCTTTTGATTACCTTTATATTTGATAGCTGAAACAATTTGAGAATGCTTGAATAACATAATTCTATAAATTGGTAACATCATTAAAAGAAGCTATATTATTATTAATTTATTTACTTTGTTCACCATAATTTAAACTTTACCATTTTTCGTTTAACGACATTTATTCATTACCTCAACGGAAATTGAAAATCTTGTATAGTCGCCCTAGACCCTTGTAACTTTTTCTTTTGATCAATGTCTCTTCATCAAATATTTTCCCGGATAATCAGGATTACGCGGATTAACAGTTGAGCATTTTGGTTCAACAATATTTTCTTCCCCAAGAATGTTTAAAGATGTTTTTGCAATTGATTTTATAAAAGACATTGAATTTGACTGTACAGACATGCTGAACAAAATTTGAATCGAAACAATAAGACGCAAAATAATTTGAAACACAGATAGTGCCTCTTTTTCCCCGAATAAATTTCTCTTTCTTTTTTTTCTTTCTTTTTTTTTTGTCTCTTTCTTTCTTTCTTTCTTTTTTTTTTGGAAAATGATGTGTACGCACTTGCGTACTTGCGTATAGGCAGCTACGCGCCTGAAAGTCCCTCTCGAGAATTTTTCACTCATATGAAACCGCCGCCACTTGCCGTTGGAGATAAGATCAAAGTACTGAGAGTACTGATAGGCGGAAGCATGATTGCAAGTTCTCATGTGCAATACTCTAATGACACATATTTGAAGCATAATCTGTTTTAAAGGGGGGGGGTGATATATATTTTGATGGATTGTAGTATTGAAACCAAGGAAGAAGAATAAACAATATGTCTCCCTTTTGAAGCGGATACATGAGAATAAGTGACGTCAATAACAATATGAACATTTTAACTTTTATTATACCCTTCTTGAATTAAAAGTGGGAGGGTATACTGTAATCAGTTTGTCCGTCCGCCGTCTGTACGTCTGTACGTCTATCTGTCCGTCTGTTCATCTGTTACGCTTTGGGTTACTCATATCTTATCAGCAACTCCTCTTATACCACTGAGTGACATTTAATGAAACCTTCACAGAATCTTTATTACATATTGCCATTGTGCACCTCCTATTTTACTTTTAGATCCGACACATATTTTGGGTTTCCCTGCCCAGCAAAACATGTAAACTTTATCAACAATTGTATTAATTTCATGTTAATTGTTCGTTAATTATCATATAGTTTTCTCTTAGAGAAAAAAAAATTAATCATTCTGTGTGTGCAATATTAATTGACGGAATTTTCCACTCCTGGCCTGATTCTCTTCGTGTGTAGACCATGTAGACTATGTAGGGAGCGTAGCAAACCCCGAAGCGGGTCGGAGATTTCTAAACTGAAAAATGGGTTCATGGTAAAGTTCAGCATATTATATTATATAGAATTTTAATCATGTAAGTAAGTTCCGTGACGAATACATTAGTACGTTTCAGAAATTTAAAAAAAGGGTCTCAGTTTAGAATTTCCCGGCCCGACCCTGATTTTCCTAACCCATTTTAGCAAATGTTAGAACAAAATATATACTGAGTAGTTCAGCAAGGATTGTATAATTTTTATTAATCAGAATTCGTATTCATCATATAATCTAATTAAGAAAAAAAAGTTTTGACTGCCATCGTAACTTCTCGGCAAAACAAAACGTGTTTCTCCGAGGTCGATAGATGCGTTTGACAACTCCATCGCACGTGTGTAGACCAAGCTAGGCTAACTGGTCTTGCGGACACGTGTACTGTTTGTTATGAGACTGGGTGACCGTAATGCTACGGACTCACGAAATTTACTAATTACACCAGTTTCATATATAGACACTAAGAGGAAAGACAGCGCAGTTTATTTTTTTTATAAAAGTCATTAAACACTGTTAAACATATTAAATCTAAAAGTCGAATATCTTTGGATATGGGGTAACCCATATCTATTCTTGTTTACAATGGAATCCGTATATAGTACATGTTTCCCATGAGGGGTTTATTTTGGAAATATTGCTTTGTAAATTTTAGTTAAACTCTTCATATCCCCACCCTATTCCCTGGGTAAAAACATATTTTTACCAAAAACATGCAATTAATAATCAGAATTATAGCTCTTAAATTCACTCTTCCTCATATCCCTTCTAAGAATGGACGTAAGTAGGAACCGGGGGAGGGGGGGCTAAGCACGTGCCCCCAAATAATTTTGTCGTTATGAAGAATACTGTAAAAAAAACTTCGCTACTATTTGCTTGTGTCCCCTCAATAAGTCTTATGACCGTAGAACTTTGAAGTAATATTGCCCACAAATAAAAATGTATGGTTGTGCCCACACAAACTGAAACTGCTTCCTATGGCGGCCCAGCTATGTATTCAAAGTAAAGTATGCATTCTTCCGTGTAATATAATTCATGTTCGCACGTGTGTTATTATTTATTACATAACAATTAAGTTAATTGTAATGTAGTAAAATAAATTATTCAAGTATGAAAGGAGCTGCTACCTTGTGGACTAAACTGAGAGTTGATCATATACAACTATTTAAACTAAAATTAAGATCGAGTTAAATTTCAAATTTAAAAAATGAATTTAGCATCAAACACGTTCTTAAACGCATCTAATGAACATGTTTAATCAGCTGTTAATATTGTCAGAGTAATCCGTCCCTGGGGACGCGTATGCTTCGCGATCCTTGATCACTACAGCTCACAGAGCGAACGTGAGGACAGGAACGTACATAAAGACATAGACCTGTGTTACAACGAAGGATCGTACAGAGGTAAGATGTGGTTATTAAGAATGTCGGGGAGGGAAGCTGGGAAAACCCCTGCTCATTTTTTTTCAGTAATTGTTTTTCGCTGTAGTTTTATTATGGAAAATTGTATTTAGATGATTTTTATTGATGTAAAATAAAAAAAAACTGGCACATTCCATCATGTCGTCTGTTTGGGGAATGAGAGGTTAGACGAACTTATTCTGGTATTGAAACATGACACACGTGTTGCCATTTCGACCATTTTATTCACTCAATCAAAACTAAACTAAAAACCAAAAACGTACAAATCAATATTTCCGGAATAGTGGCCTGACGTCACCTGACCTGACACCATATACACAACATCCCCGCCCTTCAATTAAAATTGATTCTATAGAGCAATTTTATAACAGGCCAGTGATGTCAGTCCACAATTATTGCATAAAATAGAATATAAATGAAAATCAAATGCAGGATCATAATCAGTAATGATGAAGGAGCATATCTTTAAAAATTACACAGGAGTTTTCAGAAAACTAAGACATTCATTATAAGGTACTACCAAATTGATGTAATATAACATTGACCATTGCATACAATGATGATATTATACAGAAGACTCATGTCTGCATTAGGTAACCAGTGGTAATGTTTAACACCAAACAAAGATAGTGCAGTCTATAACAATGCATTCAAGTTCAAAATAACAAATGTCATCAGGCCTGAATAATGAAAAATGTGTAAAATGAACAAGGAAAGCATGTCAAACAAGTATGCACAATTCACATATTTTCTGGCATATCCATACAAAGTATATCAATGGTATATAAATGGTAAACCCTGTTGCATTAGAAATGTTTTATGTCTTTGATGACAAAACTCCTGGTATGTTAATTAATTGAATAAGAAAAACCCTCACATTTCATACATATACTAAAGAGTGTAAATTTAAATTGCATTCTATCTGAATAGCATGGTGATGAAAAAAAATGTACACAAATAAACTCAAAATCATTCTGACAATATTTCATGTAAAATGTAAATCAATATGACATGTCAAGAAATTTCTTACAGATTGTTATGTAGTGAAAAATTGACAACATATACTGGTACATGTATCCTAACTGTAAAGCAAAAACATGTATTGCAAAAAAAAATTAACATCAATATGTAATTCAAAAAGATGAATTATACAGATGCAACAATGTCACATACAACAGATTGCAATTGGTGGGATTTGACAAAATTTCTCGCAGTGTCATTTAAATCCTCAAATTTAACCCAAGTGGCCTTTTGTGAGGGTTCCCCCACAAAGTGAACAAGGTATTCAACATTAGGACCAGTACCTCTTTGGGCTAAAATGCGTTTAACCTTGTAGAGAATGTTTGGAGAACAAACATCGGATGATGAAAGGTCACTGGGATTGACACAGTTGTCCTGGTAACGGAGGGGTTTCCGTATTGTGCGCCGTGGACGAGGCAACACAGTTGGTGCAGGATGGGGATCCGCTGACGGATGAACGGGTGATTCCGACTGTGTTGATGACACAGAATGTGACTCCTGAGAACTGGATGTTTGATACTCTGGCAGAACAGAGTCAGTAATTGTTTGGGTAGAACTAGGCTCATCGAGTTCCTGGGTTATGCTAGAAGTTTGAACCGCTTGGTCCTTGTAGATTGAGCGTGCAATCTGAAAATAGTTTGTTGGTGTAGGTGCACGTACATATGCATATTTTAGTCTGTTTATGTGAATCGGTTTATCTAAGGTCTTCTGTGTAGAAGGGTCGAAGAGTATAACCAAATGTGCAGTAACAGTCTCCTTGACAACATATGGCCCTTTAAATAACTCTTGAAGCTTCTGACCAGTTCCAATAGGTGTTGACTGAAGATAAACATAATCACCAACTGAAAATGATGTGGGATGACTCTTAGCATTCACCGAGTCCGTCATTTTAGTCTGTGAAGTCTGGATGTGGGTCAACATATCTGCATGCACTGCAGATAAAGTGTGTTTAAGACTTTGCATATAGTCATGGATGTCCTTTGGGAAAGTTTGCATGTCCAGTGGAACTCCTGACAATGGGAATTTTGGTCGGTGTCCATATACAATTTCATATGGGGAATATCCACATGTCGAGTTAACTGATGCATTCATTGAAAATACTATAGCAGGAAGGAGATCTTCCCAATTGTTCCTTCGGTCATTCATATACGGTGTAAGCTTTGTAGCAAGCACATGATGACCTCTTTCACAAGCTCCTAAACAATTATGGGCGTAGCTAGGAGTAAAATCCTGGTGGATCTGTAACAGTTTGCAAGTTTCTTTTGTAGCTTTAGCAACAAATTCAGATCCTCTATCAGATATGAAGGTGCTACAAACTCCAAATGTACAAACGAGATGAAAAATGGCAACACCAACGGAAAGTGCATCTGAGTTTGCAATGGGCATGGTAAACAAGTATTTGGAGAACAGATCTACAGCAGTAAATATGTAGGATTTCCCGGACGGAGTAACTGGAAGTGGTCCATAGAGATCCAATTCCCATACATCAAAGGGTTTAGTAGGTGTTGGAAATGCTGTAATGCTGGGTTTAGCAGTTCGGCCTAGTTTCCGTGCTTGGCACTTCGAACAGGATTTCACATAATCTGATATTATAACTGTCATTTTGGGGAAGAAATAATGTTCTCTAATCCTATCCAGGGTTTCCTGTATGCCACAGTGGCCACTAAATAAAGAGTCATGGTAGAGTTGTAAGATGACTGGAATCGCATCTTGTGGAAGGGCCAACTGATAGTGACACATAGCCTTTGTCCGTTTTGATTTGGCAACTCTCGAGTGGAAAAGTAGGTCACCTATGATTGCATAGTCCGCACTTTCTAAAATAATGCGCCGTGCCTCTTTTTGTCCATCAGGTAAGTTATCATTTTGCAGGTAGTCAATGATAAGTTTATAGTAGTTGTCATTCCTCTGCATGTCACGAACGGATGTACGTGTCAAGGTTGTATGCTGGAATATCTCACAGCAAGGAATGTTGTCCGGAAAGGAAATACCACCACCATCTAGTGGTTTGTCTGCCTGTTCCTCAAGCTTTTCGTCACTGGAAATTTCAGTAGTAATCTGGTAAAAGTTGTTTTGTACTACAGGTTCTGTAGAAGTGTCATTATTCGGGATGGTGAATAGATGGGGTTCAGATTCAAGTTCCCTGATATCATCTATTTCAGTTGTAAGGGTCAGAGGATTATGCCGAGTTTCCAACTCAGTTGATATGCTTAGCTCATCACATATCTCATTCACAGGTTCTGCACAAGTGTCTGTTTTATCACAAAGAATTTTCTCACAAGTGTCAGAATTTTCACTAGAAATGTTTGCACAAGTGTCAGTATCAGTGTTAATTTGCTCACAAGTGTCCACATTTATCTTTAACCCTGTATAATCCTCACACATGGATTTAGCCGTTTGAAAGACTCGGGTTTTTCCTCTTGTGTGTAAGCGGCGAGTTTTCCGATGTTTGGATAATATGACGTCCACATCCTCTGTATCTGCATCGTAATCAAATTTCGGGTTAGCCAGATTTTCCGTGAGGAGGGATATCCTGTTTACCTCAGGTTCACTCTTGTTTGTCTCCTTGAGAACCTCACTCAAAAGTTTTCCTGATGGTAGCTTTACACCTGTGGTATGTACATCTGTCATGTATGGAAAATATGGATCTTCCTCGACTGGACTAGAATCCATCACTCCAAGGTCAGAATGAGGATGACATCGAGATAATGCATCTGGGACTTGCATTTGTGTCGCTGGTTTGTACTCAATCGCTAGGTCAAATTGTTGAAGAATGGCAATCCAACGTTCATATATCGCCCCATGTAGTTGTTTCTGGAACAATGGCTGTAACGCTTGATGGTCACATTCTACCACGAAGTGGCGTCCACGAAGATATGAAGCACAGTCCAAAACACTGTAAACCATACCAAGCAATTCAAGTTTCGTAGGTCCATAACTCTGCTGGTATTTGTTGAGTCCTTTAGAACCGAAACGAACAACACGGCGAGTACCATCTTGGTGTATCTGGTAGAGCATATACCCTAATCCTCGGCTAGAGGTGTCCACTGCTAATCTGAATTCCCGGTCGTAGTCCGGAAAAGCTAATGCATCCGAATTTACGAGAGCAGCCTTGATATCGTCAAAAGCTCTTTGGTGATCTTGTGTCCACACAAAACGTACGCCCTTCTTAAGCAAGAGGTTGAGAGGGTAAGCTTTATCACTAAACCGGGGTATAAACTTGCGGAACCAGTTGAACAGCCCCATAGCTCTACGCAATTGCTTCTGCGATGTAGGTGTTGGGTATGAGCGTATGACATCTAAGCGAACTGAGGGTGGGCGTATGCCATCTTTGGAAATGTGATGTCCTAAAAATACACATTGATCTCGAGCGAATGTACACTTAGTCGGGTTGAGTTTAAGTCCAGCATCTTTGAAACGTTGAAATACTTCACACAAATCGGACAAGTGCTTTTCAAACGTGTTAGAACAAACAATAACGTCATCTAGATAACACAACACAGACTTGTATGTTAAGCCTCGCAAAAGTTTGTCCATCAGTAATTGAAAACTATTTGGTGAAGTACTTAAACCCATTGGTAAGCGCAAAAATTTGTACGTACCAAAACAAGTGTTAAATGCTGTGTATTTCGTAGAATCCTTAGCTATCCCCATTTGAAAAAATCCTGAACTTAGATCTATTGATGTAATGAAGTTAGGGTGAGTAACATTAAGCGATTCAATAAGTTCCTGGAGATTGGGAATAGTGTACCTAAAAGGCTGGGTCTGTGAGTTCAGGTAACGGAAATCACAACAAAATCTGTACGAGGATAAGTGCGCTTCCTGTGGCGTTGTAGATTTACCTGAATTGGGTTGTCTCCTCTTGGAAACAAGAACAATAGGGCTGGATATTGGTATATCCTCTTTTTCATTTACTGGGGTGATAATACCTTGGTTTAGCAATTCAGTCAATTGAGTTCTTAGAACTTCTCTCTTATCGGGGGACAGTCTATAAGGCTTATGATGTTTTGAGACAGCATTTGGTTTCAAGTGAATAGTATGTTCAACAAGAGATGTAAAACCTAATGATGGATTTTCTTTGGTAACGAAAATATCCCTGTGCTTAAATAAACAATTTTTCAACATACCACATTGTACATCTGACAAATTTTCCTGATCAAAATCAAAATATGATATAAAAGTGTCAAATTCTGCGTTCTCAGACTCTTTAGATTGTCCCTTTACAATTTGAACATTGTTACACACATTGACATTCATACATGCATCTACAGTATTTTTCATACTATCAATGGGTAAAATGTTATAAGATCCATCTAGAATAACAAAATCTGCAAGTACTTTCCCTCTGTATAGAGTTACAGAAGTGTCCGAGGGATTCAGAATTTTAACCAAAATATGATTAACATCATGTACAGTGATAACAGATCGAGCAACCACAAGACCAGATTTTAACATAAATTTGCTACTTGTACATACACCTTGTAACCCAATAACAGTGTGCTTTGGCAATGTACCCTGAATAATACATTCAGAATTCGGTTGAATTGTTACACGCTGCTTACATTTTACTTTCAGGGTTCTAGTACCATAATGCTTTGAACAAAAATCTAGTACAACATTGTGTTTACACATAAACTCTGTACCAAAAATCAATGGGTGAGAAGTATCCCGCATAACATGTACAAAAAGCTCATGTTTGCCATGAACTGAAGAACAGTGAACAATTGCAGTACCTACAACACAGACTTGTCGAGAATCAGCAAGCTGAACATTAATACATGAATTTGCATGAAAATCAGATTTCAAATGAGTAGGTAAACTATTGTACAAAGACTCTGACATAACATTAATTGCACACCCAGAATCTAACAATGCAGCTATTTCTAAATTTTCAAAATAGACAGGCAGATACATAAATTGTGAATTATAAGGTATAGAATTTTCACAATCAGTGTCATCACTCGCACTATCTGTCTCTGTCATTCTGATTGGTTCTGGGCTGCGCCGTCGGTCGCGATTTAGTGTCCTCCCGAGTGACCGCGGGACATGTCCCTCGGGACTTGGTAGTTTCCCTGGTTCGGCTGAGTCAGCATCTGGACTGACGCGGCATGGTACGGTTGTGTTTGCGGAAACATGCCTGTAGTAGGGACGACTGGAGGGGGCTGCGCGAACCTCATGCACCCTTGCGCGTCATGGCCGTACTGGTTGCACACTTGACACTGCACATCTGGGCGTGGTGTCCGATGTCCTGTCCATAAGCAGTGGCGCTGAATATGGCCGGGTCCGTTACAGCGATGGCAGGTAGTTTTAGATCGGCCATTATCCCGACGCGGTACTTTAGTGGGACCTTTCTGAAAGTGAAGGTGGTCCTCCATCATCTTCCGGAGTTGCTGGACTTGGTCCTTCAGTTCATCTATTTCGGTGGAACGTGTGGAACCCGGTTTTACTGCTGACACCTTGGGAACAGGTGGGGAGCCTGGGAAATTTGTACGGTACCCTGCTGCTTCACCAGATTTGGCAGAAATAAGGGCCGACTTCAAGGAAGTGGCCATCCCAGCACGAACAAAGAAGGCTAGGGAGGGCGGCAGACCCTCAATGAACTGAAATAACATGTCTCTTTCCAGTTTCCCTAGTCGTTGACCTTTTTCAAGGATCACACTATGGTAATCTTCAAGTGACTGAGATGCACCAAGTGTAAGTTTGTTGAATGCTGCAGATTCCACCATTAAGGAAGGATCATACACATTGTCTGTACTGATATACTGTTCCCTAAATTTGTCGAGCAACCTTTCCCAACAATCTTTGTCTGTGGATGGTAGCGAATAAAACCATATTTGTGCAGGTCCGGAGAGGTGCATATGGAAAGCCGCAATGCGGCGCGCAGACGAAAGTTCATTATGAATGTCTGGACACTGCAATGTCATATAGCTATCAAATTCAGCCAAAAACTTCGCTGCGTCTTCGTGGGAGTATCCACAAAATTTTCGCAGTGATATTCTGTCCATATTGGGAAGAATAACTACGTTGGGAACTGCGTGTGCGGTAGTAGATATGGTTGAAGGCACGTGCACGTGGTTCGAGATAGTCGAAGGTGAATATGTTTGATCTACAGAAAGTTCGAATGGATACGTACTGCTTGGATCAGGCACGTTAGAACTAGAAAATAGCTGATCAGCTTGAGGGTTCATATCAGAAGCTGGGTAAAACTGATAATCTTCGACGTCGCTCTCGTAGTCGTAGTCCTGGTCAAATATGGCGGGAAATGCATCAAGCGAGGTATTAGCAGGTTCAATCACTTGTAATGTATCGTTCGCTGCGTCAGACAGTAGGCGGTCGTTGTAAACAGGGTTTAAATTCTCCACCATGTCGTCTGTTTGGGGAATGAGAGGTTAGACGAACTTATTCTGGTATTGAAACATGACACACGTGTTGCCATTTCGACCATTTTATTCACTCAATCAAAACTAAACTAAAAACCAAAAACGTACAAATCAATATTTCCGGAATAGTGGCCTGACGTCACCTGACCTGACACCATATACACAACATACAAGCAATTTGCAATCAAGAATTCAGTCTTTTCATGAATATTGATAAAGGAAGTGCGTAAACAGTAGGTCTAAATATAGACACGTCCACGGGAAATTATAGACAACGAGGCACGTTGCATTTTGACAACGATTATTAATAAAAGGTTAATATGCGTCATAACAGAGTATAGATGGTTGATACTGATTACATTTAAAGATAAGTTATATTAATAGTAACACGCCATCCATGTCAAAAGTGAGTTGTATCTCAAAGGGCTTACCTCGTTTTCTTGACGCCGTGTTTGTTTATCAATCTAAAAGTAGCGACGGCGTCACGTGGTGGATTTACTTAAAAATAGACATTATTCTCCTTGCAGGATAATAAATAATTATAATTTGATAACTTTATAACGAATTTTATTTAAATGGTGTAATTTACAGCATTTTCGTAACTTTTATTGGTAAACAAAATATATAAATTTCCAGTCGTATTTTAAAATGGCGCACGTTATAGCGTATATTACTTTAAGTTATTTGTGTATCTGAAAAAAACCCACACTACTTTTAAGCAGATATTAACAAAATAAACCCCCCCCCCCCGGACATTCAACTATTTTGTTAAAATCTGTTTTAAAAAATCAAATCGAGATCAAAATATTGAAATTTAAATCTTATTTCGTTTTAGCTCTACTGGTCAGAGACCAGAAGAGCTTTTGCGATAGTAATGCATCCGTCGTCCGTATGTCTAGCTGTCCGTCTGTCTGTCTGTCTGTCTGTCCGTCTGTAAACAATTTTTCAAAATGCTACTCCTCCTACAGATTTGGTCTGATTTCAATACAACTTGGCACACAAGTAGACTACACTAAGATACATAATTCTTTAGATCAGTTTTTGATTTCGATGAATGGTGTTGCAGTGGTTACTATAAATAGAAATTTCTGTGAAAATAACTCAAAATGCTACTCTTTCTACAGTTTAAGTTTGATTTCAATATAACATGGCATGTAAGTAGACTACACTTAGATACATAATTCTGTGTTGTTGTTTTTTTTTTGTTTTTTGTTTTTTTTTTTTGTTTTTTGTTTTTGTTTGTTTGTTTGTTTTTTTTTTTTTGTTTTGTTTTTTTTTTTTGCTTTGATGAACGGTGTTGCCGTGGTTACTAAAAATAGAAATTTTTGTGAAATACTTTCAAAATGCTACTCCTCCTACAATTTACGTCTGATAATGATTATAATATATTTTGGCATGCAAGTAGACACTGAGATACATAATTATCAGATTTGTGTTATTGAGTTTGACGATTGATGTTGCCATGGTAACTAAAATTGAAAATTCTGCAAAATTTTATTAAAAGCCACTCCTATTGTTGTAGTCTTATTGCAATCTTGCCACAAAAGGAGAATTAATCAAGGATCATTATACTATTTATTGCTTTTGTAAAATTTAAGCCCCAAATGCTCCTATTCTCTTTCTTTATTATAAGTACAAACCAGTAGAGCTACAGTCTCGACAGAGACTTCTGGTTCTACTTGTCTGGGATTCTCACAGGGGATAAAACTAGTTCTGCAGACCACTGACAATCTCGGATTATGTTTACTGTAGATGTACTCCGCATCGCTGAGACATTAAATTTGTTAAACAAGATTCATATAAATATGAGAATACAGGTGTATCAAAATACTGTCGGTGGCACTTATTACTTGAATTGAGCAGATCAATGAATCTGTACTATTTTTTTTTCATTTGACTCTTTCGGTTAATATTTTTTCAGCATGAGTTCAGACAAATGAATTTGTTGAACACCTACAAATATTTTTTTAAAACGGAGATTGGAACCCCTGGCTTGTCCGCTACATTTTTTCTCTCTCGTCACACTCGTATAAGCAATGGCTGTAGAGTTAAAAAAAAAAAAACGAATCCAGTACAACAGGGTGCCGAAGTCAAATGTTCTTGATTTATCATATTTTTCGTAAAATTGACAACACATTTATTAATGTATAAATTACCGTATACATGTAGCTGGTGCAAAATGTGGCGTTCTGATCTTAGATTTTTTTTTTTTAGGTGGACTCGGCGTTCTGTGACTTTTTGAAAATCTATTTTAATTGCCTGCAATCGCCCGTTTTTTTTTTAATACACTGTTTTTGCACCATAACAGAGATGCTGTGGAATTGTAGCCATCTCCAGAAATTTATATCAGATTTAAAAAATCAATAGAAAACCGAGGGAGTTGGGAGTCGGCCGTACTAGCTTTACCGCTTGCCTTTGGGGGTTCTCCTACTTTCACTTTCGTATCAACTTCTTACAGTGAAGAATGTCACACAAGAAGGATAAGGATAATTTCGAAGTTTTAGAAGTTGTTAGCTCCAGAGGCAATAGCTGGGTTCGAGGTGTAATCAGAGATGTTACCAGTAGATCGACAGCTCAACAGGTTGCTATTGGAGGGGCGTCGGGATGGTAGGTTGATATTTATGAGATATGCAGATTATAATGTACGTTACTGTCGTTAGCTGAATTACGTCAGCCATTCCTCAAGTTTATAATCATGATTAAGATACTATTTTTGTTGAGGAAATCTTGTAAATTGCCAGTAAAATAGCTAAACATAAAAGTTTTCAACAAATACTTCTGGCATATAAATAGATTAAAGAGATGAGACCAGAAAATTCTGAATATCATTTCTCTTTTGATTTTGATAAACTTTTTTTATTTTGAAACTTCTTTATTTAATTAAGAACTAAGGTATCTTTT